TGGCTCTTCGCATCGGGTTATGTTCCGGGTTGGCTGGGATATTCCTCCAAGTTTTAAGCAGTGACACCGTTCGGTCTGATAGCCAGTGCTTGACTGCGTCTAGTGGTGTCGTGCCATAGGCTAAATTCCCAGCACCATGCAAAGAGGTGGCAATCTCGTCCCAGTATGAGTTCGCGTCTGATGGTGGAGCATTTGGAAGAGACTTTAGAAAACGATTCTGGTAAGTTCGTCTGAAATCCGGATTTGCCAGTCTTTCAGTTGCCAGGCGATTCGTCCGCACCTTTTGCGGCTCCATGAAACGTAGGGAGAAGCGACTCCGGACGAGTGCGTGGTCAGAGTCCACAAATGTGTTCCAAAACGACCGGCAGTCAGTTATTGATCCGCGCCATCGGTAACTGATGGCAGTGTGGTCGATTTGAGTTTGTGGCCGGCCTGTTGTAGGAGGGCACCAAGTGGCCAGACGACTTCGGCTATTTCGGAAGTTCGTACTGCATAAAAACAGCCTGCAATCAGCACACAGCTGACTGATGACCCAATTCGTCTGACGCCAGTCGTGGTCGCAAAATTTGCGCGTCGGCTAGCACCAGCAACCTCAAGCATTTCGGAATCAATCTCCAAACCTCGACGCCCGGTCTTTCTGGACGCTTTCAGTCCTCGCACTCTGAAACAAGTGGGACAAGAAGGTGCTGTCCTCCCATACTAGACTCGCCTGAAGGTGATGTGTCCTGTGTATCAGAAACAAGAACTCAAAATACGAGCACTGTAGTTGAACTAACTGCCCTGTCGCCCTGCACGCTTCCTGCTGAGCACCTGTGGAGATTCAGAGGTTACTGCAGGATATTCATGGGTCGGTATCATCCTAAGTCAAGGGGTGGAAGGATCCTTGCTTGACTGGACATCCGTTGACAGCAGCCCTTGTGTGGTCCGTCTAACAAGATGTGTGAAAGAGTCTGACCAGCGAGAAGTTGGTCTTTGTCTCTGTATTGTGTCTGCTCACACCCCAACCCGCTGTAGCTCTGAAGCCATCCAAGGCAGGTTTTACCGCTCCTTGAATGATGTTAAGACGGAGCGGAATCTCGGGTATCATTATTGTTGCAAGAAACCTGAATGCAAAAGTGGACAGGCTTAGTGCATCTGAGATTCAATTAGACGGTTGACATGGATCGGACTCTACGTATGGACAATGGCCGCAGCTATGTACCGACCGTCGACTATTTATTTGTATGCATTACTAACCGAAGTTGTCTGGCCACATGGTTTCATCCAACAGCTTGCCAACCATGCACTTGATTTGATTATGGCGCCATCAGTTACCGATGGTGTGGATCAGTGACTGACTGCCGCTCGTTTTCGGAATATGTGTGGATTCCGACCATACTCTCGTCGAAAGTCGCATCTTTCTTCGTTTTCCAGGACCGCGTCGGGAACGGGGAAATAGCTCAACAACTGATAGGCTAGCAGATTCCGAAGTTGGACGGATGTATCAGAACCGTCTTCTACACTCTCTTCTGACTGTTCCACTGTTGTATGCTCGTGTCATGTTAGAACGGGTCGCTACGTTTGCATAATGATGGGAGTTTCTCCCGTGGTATGGCACTACCAGTTCCACCCGCGCACCGGTCATGAGACAGAACGTTGAAACTGCCTGAACCTCGGAGAAATGTTCCTGCTCTTCCAGGGTACAATTCGACCCGGTGAATTATCAGACTGTGTAGAGGCCTTCCGCTTTTAATTACCGAACATTTTGATTAGACGGGCGTCACATGCGGGCTATGGACTAAACGAAGGCATCCCTTGATTGGTCAGAATGTCGGCTAATCTGGATCAAGCATCTATGGCTCGACGCTTCTCGCCTCCTTACGAAGATTCTAGCGCGACGTTGTGGGATATTATGTGACAACCCTATAAATACGGCTGTAAAAACCATCCTTTGTCTCGAGAAAGAGCTGTCTCAGGCCACCTTACCATAGTCGGCGGATCAGGACGCCAAGGACCGTCGGTAAGATACAACAGCTGGCGACAACCCGAACCCACGATGTCACTTTTGGCAGAGCAGTTGAGTGCTGTCAAGGGAAAGATTTGGATCATGCTTTAGGAGGTGGTCCCCCATTGCGGCAAGCACTTTGCAAGGCATTTCTCCAGGAAGTCCCATTCCCGTGTACTATTTGAAACGTCAGAATGAAAAGCTTGAGCTTGCTGATAAGTGTACTCATCTTGCGAACCGCATAAGCGGTGACGGCATCGTTATAGGTGTTGTCAATGCATGCATCATTAAGGCAGGGGCAATATTTGCCAACCTATGTCGCTTCTGGCCTTAGAAACGAATATGGATGAGGTTGAAGACCGTGTCCACAGAGTTACCATGAGCTGTAAAACCTAGCTCATCCACAAACTCCCTCAAATATTGGGTCCATGTCTTTGTAACATAGCGGGCTTTAATTGGCTGCAGTATGCTCTTAGCGAAACGGTTCGTAAGCGAGTACTGAGTCATGAGTCAGTTTGTTTAAGCAATGAGTTTTCGAGGCTGGTACTATCTGCGTCCGACCTCTGGCTGTAAAGAGCTTGATATACTTCAGCTGTTAAGGGGCAAAGCCTACTGACCGGAAGGTTCCTGGCTTGAACCCGACCTCCGCTTCCCCGTTGCTCCGCTCTAGGCGTGGGTAACCTGGCAATATCTCAGCCATCGCACCCCCTCTGTGTGGCAGTTGTGCACCGAAAAGTTGTCGGCTGAACAGCTTTACCTTTTTTAAGGAAAACCATGTTTTCCACTCCAAACCTTTGGTCACGAAAAGTTCCCGGAGTACAGACCATGGCGAGTCAGCACGGAGTTAACGTGCCCACTGTCAAGCTGAGTGCTATTGGATCTTCGCGTCTTCGTGAGTGCTGTCCACGTGGTTCTTCTTGCGCGTGATGCGGCACTTTTTGTCTCCCCCTATTCAGTCGGCTTACCTAATGTCTGTCTTCTCGGATTTTTGGCATACAGGGCTCACTCTCCATTGAGACGTTTTACCTGGAGTGTCGATTCTGCCTCCGTCTTCATCATCATTAGCAGCACACTGTCAGTGTACAACACTTTCGCTGCTCACGTAGGTTGAACTATGGTCTTCTGTCGGTGTTGTGAAGGTCTAGCGTCGTTTGCGATTTCACAAAATACTACTCATATTTTTAGTCACGTCTCCATCCCGTTATCTTCGGCATGCTCTATTCACCTGTTTTGCAGCCACCACATCTACGATGAGCTGGCATCAGCCTGGTTTGGATGTTAGCTCCGCACCACATCATCCAGCTCCACCCCATGGACTCCTCTCAGCTGGTTACATGACTGGCTTCGATCCCAATGCCTCCGGTGTGGAGACTGACAATCCACTGATTACAGAGCAAAGGGCGCAGTTAACCGGCCGGGAACTCCAACAACTCCTAAGTGTTGCACATCAAAGTTTGGATGAAGCCCAGGAACGGTGAGTAGTTTGGTACTAGAGTTGCTATCAGTGGATCAATGCCTTTCTCGTTGTAGTTATAATTGAGCTCTTTTTTGTGGTTATCCAATTCCATAACTGAAGGGCTTAGCAAGATTAGCATGATGGAAATAAAACGTTTTTTGCTGATTGTCGAATGTTTGTACAAGTTGGAGCTGGTTGATTACCGTAGGTTTCGATAGACTTGCCCCTCTTCTTACGAAGAGGGGGAGTTTTTTCACACATCTGTTAACAATATTCGCTTTCAGTGAACATGATACACTCAAGACCCTATATCTGCATGTGAAGACCTCTGTGGTTTTTTAAGACAGCAAAGGTCACCACTGCATGTTGAACCCATCAAATCACTCCCATCTTTCAGACCTCCCCACATGTTAATACATATTTCGTGGGCGAGTGATCAGTTTTAGTTCACTAATGACACTGATCTGGGGTGAAGCGGGTGGGATATCATCGATATCATTCACTTGCAAACCAATTTAGCTTTGCGGAAGGAAGACGAAAACCGGCTGATGTGGGATATCCTCTGGTTCAGTTAATAATTGGAATGAACGGCTGTAATCAATTGAGCTAGATATGNACCAATTTAGCTTTGCGGGAGACGCCCGAAAACCGGCTGATGTGGGATATCCTCTGGTTCAGTTAATAATTGGAATGAACGGCTGTAATCAATTGAGCTAGATATGGTGATATGTGCAATATATATGAAATCAATCAATTTCAAGTCTTACGTTGCAAGGTGAGGAAGTTCTCGAAAGCGTGCCTCCGACATCTGTTGAAGCTAAAAGAGTTTCAGCACTAACGCTACTCTATGACAGTTGCCAGTGAACTTGACACAAATGTAGGGCAATCTGGATATCAACCCTTAGAAAGTCTGTAAAGTCATACGACCACTGAAACTCCCAACGAATAAACTTTTCGTATCCTGGTACAAGAAGCACGAATGCATCGATTGTGGCTGGACATACTTTCAAAAAAACCCCTGAAGAAAAGGCACCCCGAGGGATGTCTATTCTCCAGGAATTTCGGTGTTGTGTGAGGACCCAACAAGACCTATTTTCTAATTTCCAAAGCAGTGCATGCTTCATTTGATCGCGCAGAATTTACTGATCAACTGTCTGTGGTATCACGAGTACTGGCGACACGCTGTACAGATGGTGTCATACGATAGCTATCTGTTTCGCAATTATTGTCGGCGTTTTTGTTATGTTTCTCGTGCTTTGCCTTCCTGAACCGACTTCGGCTAGTGGCACAAAAACTGCTCGTTGGTAGTAATCCAGAGGACGTAAGTTGATGGCTATTATACAGGTTTACTACGCAAGAGTGTTGCAGATTTAGAACATCCACCCAATACCTCTGAAACATGCCATCGAAGAGCCGTCCAAAACATCCAGCCACAAGAAGAATTTGATTGCTGTTGTTCTCATTAGTTGCTTCTCCTACGAGGAAGCATCCCTCTCTGCGAGACATACTGGTATCCCAGGGGCGAGATGACCCAATAGCGCGAATTTACTGACCGGAAAGTCCGTGGTTCGAACCCAATATCTGCCTCTCGACTTCCTCTGTCTAGGCTTGGGCAACATGGCAGTATCCCAGACCTCCTGCAACTTTCGGGCGGCGTGGCAATTAGGCACTGAAAGGGTGCTACAGCTGAACGAAAAGGTGTACTTCCAGGTTATGAGGTCCGTTTCACCATAAACACTGCAGGGTATCCTACTGTACCGCTACAAACTCTGGCTTCCTCCATATGTTGTTTGAAAAAGGGACACAACAACGAAGTTTTGCACAATATTTAGAATATGCACTGCAAATTTCAACGATTGATGAAGAGAATGGTGGAAGAAGTATCGTATCAAGGGCTCGTGCTGCAGCTTATCACCACAGTGTCAACGAGGCGAATGGCAGTTTCTGCTTCCACAGTTCTGACTTCCATTTATCAATAGAAGTAACCGCAGCAAACCTTATGTTTGTTGTTTGCTGTGCAAACACGATATCAAATGCAGTCGTTTCACCGATAAGATACTTGCTGTCAATCACCTGAAGGAAGCATGAAGGCTGGGATAATTCCAGATTGCTTGGGCAGGAGAAGTCGAAATGCAGAAGTCGGATTCGAACCCCGGTCCTTCCGGTTAGTAAATTGGTGCTCTAACCACTGAGTCATCTCGCCATCTTTTGTTCCTCGTACTGCATTTCTGCCATTAGACGGAAGTATGATCAAGCCTCGGTGTGCGTATACCGTACGTGTTTTTTTTTCTAAGCACACCAAAAAATCAATAGCATCGTTTCTACCTAACTTCTGAAATTCAAAGATAACCGAATCGTGTGCTGTTCCATTTCCTTGACATAGCACCTAAGATCGCGTGGATTATTTTTCACCTTAGCTAGCATTCTCCTCGACACGCAACCTGTTTGTGTTATCAACTCTTGTATTTTACCGCACTACCCACGCTTGCCATTCTGTTATTTCCAGTGTTTATTGTGGAGCCTAGCCTAATGATCAGTTCGCGCTTCCATTTCGTAAGATTCCCACATTTTTTCAAGCGTGAATTGAAAACCCACTTTTTCGAGTAGCCTTCCTCACTAGAGGTCTGTTTAAACAGTGCAGAATTCCAACTGACTGAGTAGTATTCTCAACATTTGTTATGGTTAGTATTTGTGGGTGTTTGGTTGCTTTAGCTTGCTTTCTCGAGCCGGCAATCCGATGTTCTAGTACCACCATTTAACTTCTGGTGCTTTCAGTTGAAGTGAGTCCATCAGCTTTGAAAATCTTAAGGCTCAATATTTTATGCTCCGCTCATTACTGTCCTGAGGAAGAAGTATTACCTATCATAACCCGCCAATCATACTATCCATTTTCAATCGGACCGTCCTTTGTGGTTTCCGTTCTATCTGACTGTTTTACTTTCGACTTCTTTTCACATCAAACATGTTCCTCGTGTTATCTGGTCTACTTTTGTCTCCCTCCCTCTCCTCACGTGACCTGCAGTAAACAGTCTCTCAACAACCACCGTCTCAAACCAGCCCTATATAGCGTCTTCTGTGAAATAAAGGAGAAAACAGGTGAGTTCGGGCTTCCTTTCTCTAGCCAGTATTTCTGCTTTCTCGAATTGCGAGTGTGTTGTCGTTAAAGATCTAAGTTGAATTAGAAGCCTATGTTACGCCATCCTTCATTTTTGGGAAAGGAACATTGATTTCGTATGACTGGAATGAGCTCAGTTCTATGTGAAGTCCTTACGCCTATCAGCCGAGTCCTCGTCATTTCAAACGCGTTGGTCGATATTATATAACCAGACTTCAGCGTTATTTCCATCATTCTACTCACTTCTCTTTCCACCACTACTGTTTTCAATTTTTGCATTCCTATATAGCCTTGAGTCTTCGCAATTCCGCCGCGTCAGCCGTTGAAGATGAAGCCAACTCCCCAGATCCACAGCTTCTACGGCTTGATAAAATGCTTGTGGCTGAAGGGGTGACAGGTCCAGGCGCTGGACTGGCAAACGACCTTGGCGATTCATCCGGCGATCTCGCAGCTCATGGTGGTTTAGGTGGTGGCGGTGGAATAGGTGACTGCAATCAGATTGAACACGCTGATTACCGGGCAAAGTTGGCACAAATCCGACAGATTTATCACGCTGAACTAGAGAAGTACAAAAGCGTAAGTTTTTGCCGGTTTACCGCTAAGTTAGTAGTTAATCTCCCGCAGATGAACATTGGTTCCCTTGCGGTTTGTAGGTAGGTTTCCAATATCCAGTGGCTTTTTACTGTCACCTGAACCTGTTGTGCTAACCTGTTGGTAATCATAGCGTCCACTGTGTTTTACAGCTACATGCTGCATGGTTCAGTCGGTTAATACCAAAAGGACAAGACTCGTGTAAAGCTACCTGGGTTTGGCCTTTGGATCAGCTTTTTTACTACACCTATACTTGGCGACATGCGCTCGAATAGCATTATTCCTTTCGGCGAACAACTGTTCTCGGTTCAGGTACTGTGGCGAAGGCCTGCTGGCTAGTTTCTTCCAAAAGCTCCGTCATAAGTTACCTAGAGAAATCACTTACCTGGTATACAGTTACGATAATGGGTCCTTCTCTGTCTAACACCTGTGTGGTGAACAGCTTTCAGACAGTGCACTTACGGACACTCAATTGACTGTATCACAGGATTTATTTGCAGAGTGCTGCCACAAGATCGATTGGTATCAACCCGGAACCTAATGCTTCCGGTGCAGCCAGCCCGTTTGACCGAAGAATTGAATTCTTGGAGCAGGTTAATGAGTCTTACTCTTCTGCCGAAAAACGAATCGGATAGAAAGGTTCGGAGCAGCTATTATCGGTTTGCGACACCTTGTATGTCAGCTTGTGATATTAGCTCGTCTGCTGAGGATTGAGTCTGCAACACTGAGTCAGAAAGCAAAACAAAGCATTCGATTTCTGACCGTCATCGTCTCTGAAGCACTGTCCTGTCGAAAATATCGACACCGGGGGGGGGGGAGTGGTAGGCACCGTACACTTCATGTTTGTGTGCGTTTTTTGTTCATTTTTGTTGACGTCTGTCGGTTGTCCCACATCAACCATCGGCGGATGACCTTGCCCAATATGCGCCATTGTGCCGTTTCGCTCACATGCCAAGTTTGCCGTACATACACAGTTTCCCTCCGTTAGTTGACAGCACGTTAGCCAGTCAGGCGATAGCATCTGCAACACGGAGTTTCGCGATAGCGGTTACCAGAACGGGACATTTAGGGTACTAAAACCGATAGCGCTGGCAGACATAGCCAGGCCAT